CATTCCAATCCCAAAGAAAGGCAATGCCAAAAAATGCTCAAACTACTGCAAGATTGCACTCATCTCACACGTTAGTAAAGTAATGCTCAAAATTCTCCAAGCCAGGCTTCAGCAATACGTGAACCGTGAACTTCCAGATGTTCAAGCTGGTTTTAGAAAAGGCAGAGGAACCAGAGATCAAATTGTCAACATCTCCTGGATCATCGAAAAAGCAAAAGAGTTTCAGAAAAACATCTATCTCTGCTTTATTGACTATGCCAAAGCCTTTGACTGTGTGGATCACAATAAACTGTGGAAAATTCTGAAGGAGATGGGAATACCAGACCACCTGACCGGCCTCTTGAGAAACCTGTATGCAGGTCAGGAAGCAAGAGTTAGAACTGGACATGGAACAACAGACTGGTTCCAAATAGGAAAAGGAGTACGTCAAGGCTGTATATTATCACCGTACTTATTTAACTTATAGGCAGAGTACATCATCATCATGAGAAACGTTGGGCTGGAGGAAGCACAAGCAGAAATCAAGATTGCCGGGAGAAATATCAATAACCTCAGATATGCAGATGACACCACCCTTATGGCAGAAAATAAAGAACTAAAGAGCCTCTTGATGAAAGTGAAAGAGGAGAGTGAAATAGTTGGCTGAAAGCTCAACATTCAGAAAACTAAGATCATGACATCCGGTTCTATCACTTCATGGCAAACAGACGGGGCAACAGTGGAAACAGTGGCTGACTTTATTTTTTGGGGGGGCTCTAAAATCACTGCAGATGGTGATTGCAGCCATGAAATTAAAAGACACTTACTCCTTGGAAGGAAAGTTATGACCAACCTAGACAGCATATTAAAAAGCAGAGACATTACTTTATCAACAAAGGTCCGTCTAGTCAAGGCTATGGTTTTTCCAGTAGTCATGTATGGATGTGAGAATTGGACTATAAAGAAAGCTGAGAGCCAAAGAATTGATGCTTTTGAACTGTGGTGTTGGAGAAGACTCTTGAGAGTCCCTTGGACTGCAAGGAGATCCAACCAGTTCATCCTAAAGGAGATCAGTCCTGGGTGTTCATTGGAAAGACTGATGTTGAAGCTGAAACTCCAATACTCTGGCCACCAGATGGGAAGAACTGACTCATTGGAAAAGACCCTGATGCTGAGAAAGATTGAGGGCAGGAAGAGAAGGGGATGACAGAGGATGAGATGGTTGGATAGCATCACCAACTCAATGGATATGGGTTTGGGTAGCCTCCAGCTGTTGGTGATGGACAGGAAGGCTTGGCGTGCTGCAGTTCATGGGTTCGCAAAGAGTCAGACACGACTGAGCGACTGAACTGAACTGAGCTTGCTAAAGATGGTGACATGGATGAGCAAGATGACAGCAGAGATGAGAGTGTAAGAAGTTACAGGAGTGACTGTTTCTATAACTGTTGCATATTGGCATATTTTATATTCACAGGCAAGGGAAAAGGGCCTAACCTAAGGAAATACTAATGTTGCTTATTTATAAAATGGGAACTCTCTGGAAAGCTCAAATCAACCTTTAGAAGATACATAAATATAAAAGTGAAATCAACCTAAAAAAGCATCTACAGCAAAGGGTGCAGTAAACAGAGACTCAAAGTACCATAGGCAACAAAATAAGGTATTGCTGAAAATGAAAGTGTTAGTCACTCAGTTGTGTTCAACTCTTTGCGACCCCATGGACTGCAGCCCACCAGGCTTTCTGTCCATGGAGTTCTCCAGGCAAGAATTCTAGAGTGGGTTGCTCTTTCTTTCTCCAGGGATCCTCCTGATCAAACCTGAGTCTCCTGAAGGCAGATTCTGTACTGTCCGAGCCCCCAGGGGAGCCTGAAGCTATTGCTGGCCATGTTCAAAGCAAGAAAACACGAGGAGAGAGTAATATTTGGGGGGAGGGAGTGCAATATTCACAGAAAACCAGTGAGAAGGAGCCCCACTCAGGACAGAAGCTGGCCTCCATCTCTCATAGGAAAGAATATGGTCTGCACCTTGGTCAGTGCAAACAAAGAGCATGAAGACGGAGCTGGGAGACAGGGAGAGAAGGGAATCCATCACTTGCAGTAATTTTCAGTTTTCCCACTCACATGATTCTCATTCTAGGGCACTGAAGGAACCAACAGATCCCTTTTGACACCATGTGGCATCACAACAGTCCCACTATACACCCGTCCAGTGAGTCTCACTGTATGTATTGCTTTCTTATTCAGTATCTCTTCCGGGCTTCTCAACAATCTAGTGGGGTACACAAAGCTATTACTTACTGTCCTTATTCTGAAACTCAGAATTTAAGTGACCTGCTCAAAATCACACAGCCCACTGGGAACAGGACCACATCTAGACCCAGCCCTCTGACTCTGCCCAGGGCTCTTTTCACTAACCAGTGTAACTTTTCACTGCATCTTCAGCAGAACAACAATAAAATTCAAGCCATTTAATATTAACAACATCAGTATAAGTACACTTCCAACAAGATGAATACTGTTAAATCTGCAAGTGCCAGGTAAACATCTTAATTGCCATATGACTCTGGATGTTCAGTCTTCAAATCCCATTTAATCTTCAGACTTTCCCCAGGAGTTACAGATGAAGACCCAAGGCTCTGGGCATTAAGTAACTTGTTTGGGGTCACCAGAGGTCTGGTCATTGGTGCAGCAGAGGTTTAAATGTACTGGGATCTGTTCTGGCTCCAAACTCTATACTCCTATTACAACTGGCTGCTACCTTAAATGTTTATCAAGGACCATCCTAAGGTATGGAGGGTATTAGGTAATCCAAATGCAAAGAGCAGAAACAGTCAGTGGCGTTCCTGAGAAGTTTGATGAGCCAAACACTTTTCTAAAGCATGGTCTGTGATTATGCTAGCAAATCACAGCTTCCTTACTTAGGTCTAAGTCTTGTGGGCATCAATGCTGAGGGCATGAGTATAGCAGAGGTGAGGGCAGAAGTAGGCAATAAAACAAGTAGTGCCTGAATTTTCTACGATTCTTGCAGGAGTTCAAAGAATACCATACACCCTGGAGTAAATGCACTTCCTTCTAACTAAGGAGTAAGACAGGAGGTTGTTAGGGTGGGAGCAAAGGAAAAGTGGAATCTTTTTTTTATCATCTTTAGGACCTACTTCCTGAGCAGTCTCACGCCTTCTGGCTTCAGAGGGGAACAAAAAGAAAGCTACTTGGATACAGATGAGAACACAAGCGATTTTCAGGTTAAGTTTATTGCCTGGGATTCACCACTGACTTGGGCAACAGCACTCTAAATGTAACAGAATCAGGGGTTTCAGATTCACAAACATATAGCCACAAGCAAGTCCACCAGCAGCAGAAGTTAGTAAAACCCTCCACAGAGCACCATTTGTCAATCCAACAGAGGTTCACCAAGCACCTACTGTATCTACACCTGGAGAAGGAAATGGTAAACCACTCCAGTATTCTTGCCTGGGAAAATCCCACGGACAGAGGAGCCTGGTGGGATACAGTCCACGGGTCACAAGAAGTCAGACATGATTGAGTGACTAAACAACAACAACTGTATCTACACATTAAGCAGTGGGGAAGCAGAGAATGAGACGGACAGCATGCCCAGCTTTGCGGAGCTCACAGTCTGTAGAGGAATTTCTGCTACCAAAGGGGTGCTGTGGGTGCTTAAAAACTAGGAATGGAGTTGAATCTTTATCACCCCTGACTGTCCACTGATTTAGAGTATTTCACGATTTTCTAAAACAATCATTCATCTTAATTAAAAAACGAACCACCACTACTTAAAGAGATCTCAGTGACGTCACAAATAGATTGTTTATTTTAAGCACTGGCTTTTGTAATTTGATCTATGTCTTAAGGAAAATGTCATCTTATTGACTGCAAAAATCCATCCCCCACTGAAACTTTTACCTCCTAACACACTTAGGTCTGCTACACAAAACCAGTTAGTCAACCATAGAGAGGAGTTGACACCTGGTAAGAGATCACATTTACTACTTTATTTATTCCCATCCAGTGTATGCTCCCAAAACAGCCTTGACTGGAAGCATTAACAGCCACTGGACAATTGCATATGGAGGTGTTTAAGGCTTGATGTTTCCCCCCTTGCTCTATTATTCTATCAGTCCGGTATCAGATTAGCTCCTAACTCCTAGTCCCTCAAGCTTCCAAACAGTGGCAGAACTGGGGTTTAAACCTGCGTCTGCCCCCAAACCCAACTGAGCACACCAATGCTCTCCAGCTCTACTGTCTCCTGTTTGGATGACGGCAAATCTGAGTGCCTCGAATGGCCAGGCAGGCAACGTCAATGAGCAAGGAGGCAGGTAAGGGATATGTCTATCTGCGATGAGCAGGATGACAGAGTGCTGGAGAGGGGACTAGAGGGGACAGCAAGCAGCTACTGCTATCAATAGCTCCAGCAATTGCTATCACATATGATCTTGCAAGTTTAAGAGAAATGGGAACTTCAAAATTTTATGTATACTCCTGAAAGTTAACACTAAATGTTAGTTCAAATTCTTTGTTTGAAGAGGACCACATGGGTCAAACAGGCTCTCAATCTTTGTTACTGTGCTGTTGGCATCATCTTTTTTTCAAAAATATTTATTTATTTATTTGGCTCCACCAGGACTTCCTTGCAGCACACAGGATCTTCAGTTGTGGCATGTGGGATCTAGTTCCCTGACCAGGGGTGGAACCTAGGTCCCCTGCACTGAGAGTGCTGAGTCTTAGCCACTGGACCACCCGGGAAGTCCCGGCATCATCTTTTAAACAGCACTGGTTTGTTTTGCTAAATTGTGCAGCATTACTTTCATAAGTGTAACATCACCCCAGGGATGGGGGAAACAGAAAGATCATTAACGCCTTAAATACCAAGGGTATTCTCTTTTTCAGGCAGCCTAGATGGACTCACGGACTAATGCCACATAAGGTGTTTTTCTCCCCAGGGGCCCATGGAATAACTTTCATTTCTTTCCCATAGCAATGATACCCCAGGCAGTTGCTTACCCGTTTGTCAATGTCATTGTGTTGGAGCTGCACAAAGCGAGCGCTGATGGCTGCGATGTAACTCTGCTGATTGGAGAATGCCACACGGCCGGCACCTTTGGGGTACTTCAACTCGGGGTCTGTATCAATGCCAGCATAGCAGACACCACCATATAAACGGTCCATGATCATTGCCAGTTCAACTGCAAGAAAATAAACACCATTTGGTATAAATGTTTAGAAGGGTCTCTTGCCCAGGAGAAGGAAGGACTACATGGAAGAATCATGCAGTGTAACTAAGAAATGGAAAACCCATGTTAAGTATCATGAAGAATGTCCACACCAATCTTAGAACTCAAGAAGGGGAGCTCCTCATAAGATATTTGAAAACAAAGTGAAAAAAGAAAGAAAGAAAGAATTTACACACACACACAAATTTACACAATGAGAACTTCAGCAACAGTATAAAAGAAATGATCTATCAGCAACCCTCCTTTCTAATTTCTAACTGCTTAGTCCACTAGAGTGGACCCTGGGCAGGCAAAGCATTTCAGGTGCCCTAACAAGTTAATAAGAAACAGTCTACTTACTGACCCCTAGGGCTGAGAGTAATTACTAAAGTCACACTTCTAAATTAAGATTAAGCTATAGAAAGAATTAACTCTAGAGGCAATATGTTTACAGCCTAGAAATAACTCTCCACAATTTTCTAAAAAATAAAAGACTTTAAGAGTTTATATCAATTGAGGAATCTCCATACTAACTTCTCACACTAAATTCTAAATAACAATACTAAAAATGATGATAGCAGCAATAAACATTTATTGAGCGCTTATAATTGCCAGGAAACACTAAGCTGCTACAAAGGCAGTAAAAGCACACCCATCCTGAACCCTGCTATAAATCCAGAGGTCTGGTCTGCACTCTTCACTAGAGCTCTTTGGTATATCTGCAAAACACCTGGACAGAAGGCATTTGGAAATTGGACATTCCAAAGGTCTGATATGCTACAACTGTCCTCATCAGAAGGTACCATGGAGAGACATACAGCAGTTACTTACCTGGATCCAAACTGCCTGAAGTTAATTGTTTACTTGATACTGGATGGCACCTCCTCCAGGTATGACCACTCCTTTCAGGCCACTCACATGGTTTTAAGTCCAAAAGACTCAGCCCTACTCCTAGGGAATGACCCAAGAATCTACTTCCTCAAATACCTACACATGGTATTTGGAAAGGAGTGGACAGGGAAGACAGATGAAGATCTGGGCCACAGCCAGCGTGCAAAGGCCCCCAGACAGCTGAGCTCCACAGGAATCAGTATCTGGGGGAGAAGGAGAGCTGCACAGGCTGGAAGGGCAGGAGAAGAACTCTGCAGCAGGTTCAAGGGCTGAAGGGCTGAACGATGCAAGAACTCCACCAGATTCTATGAACAGAAGGAAAGCCACATACTGCTGTAACAAAGTTATGTCACTGTGAAAGAAAGGCTGTCTTTCTGACTTCTTCAAACCAGACTGCTTAATACTGGTAACTGATTTCTAAGCTTCTGTTTCTAATAGGAAGAATGACTTAACAACCAACAGGTAATTTTCAGAAGATGAGTAAATAAGCTAGCAGTCATTAAGCCAGAGAATAAGTGCTTTAAAAGACAGAAGAGCAGAAAGTTACCCCAATGACCCCATTATGATCAGAATTACTGAGTCATATCAGTCAAAGAAACATTGCTGGTTAGAGCCCAAGTGGACCCTGGCTTCAGTCTTGGGGCAGGATCCGGAAATCACATTCATTCAAACAGTGCAGTAAGAATCAAGTCCCTGTTGTTTAGTTTTTAAGTCGTGTCTGACTCTTTGGTGACCCCATAGATTGCAGCCCACCAGCCTTCTCTTTCCATGGGATTTCCCAGGAAAGAATACAGAATACTGGAGCAGGTTGCCACTTCCTTTTCCAGGGGATCTTCCCAACCCAGGGATCGAACCCGAGTCTCCTGCTTGGTAGGCAGATTCTTTACCACTGAGCCATCTGGGAAGCCCAAGAATCACGTGTGTACCCTGAATATTAGAATTTAGTGGGTCCTTACTTTGTCTCAACAACTTATGATGGCTTACGGACTTCCTCACATAGCTAATGTTATTCCAGTCACAGAGAAGAAGAAATTGAAAGTTGAATTTATTTACCTTAGTCATTAATGAATTTCCTTTATTAGTCAAGTTGGCTTAGTAAAATAGGTAACCTTGGGGCCTGGAAATTAAACACTAACTTCCCAAAGACCTGGCTTCTTCTGGAATAGAATAAGACAGTGAACACTCCCTCAGCCTAGTGAATGGCCAGGAGATGAATGTTGGCAAAGGACTGAATGAGCTTGTCTTCTACCCTTAGGAAGGACTCAAGAAAGTGTCTAATTTAGAAAGAGAGCTTGAAGCTCCGGCTGAAGACAAGAGCTACTGTAACCAGAGGTTCTTCTATGGCATCTTGGTCTCCAAAGGAACTTTAGGGACCCGCAGATGGCAGAGACATCTACTGCGGCTGGAAGATCCCAGCACCTTCCACAAGCACTTTGTGAATCTGGCTGTTGGAAAATCACCTTCTTGGCCCAAAGATTCAGTCATGGCTGATGCTATTGGCAGTTAAGCAGTTCTGTTAGGGAAAAGAAACCCTCATCCACCTACGCTTTTATGAAAATTATTAATAATTTCCACTTAGAAGCTTATGTGCAGTCATTTTCTTGGCCACCCAAAAGTCTGCAGGCATTTTAGCCAATGAAGTCTTACTCAAGTGAAGGACAACTTATTAAGAAGCTAGAAGAAAGAATCCAAGGTGACTACAGAAAATTTTTGGGGGGTAAGAACATGAAGATTACTCATTTCTCTACCTTAACCTGTATTTAACTACAAAAACCTCAATAGTCTGATGATCCTCGAAGAAAAGTAAATAATAACTCAACAGCTGCTGTCTGTATTTGGTCCTTACTCAGTCAGCAAGTCCTCATTAAAAGTGTACTTCCTGCTGCCTAAACTCATGCTAGACTCAAACAACAGAGGGATGTCACTTAAGTACTAAACAGCATTTCTAATTATTGAGAAAAGTAACCAGTTGGTAAAAACAACATAAAAAAAGAGCAATTTAATTCATCTACTACATAGGTAACTAACAAACACAGAGCAAGCTTTCCTCAAGTCCTACAAAATTCTAATATGAAAATACTTTTTATATGGAAGATACAAATCACCTACAGATGTCATAATATACAACTACTCGTACAGGCTAGGTTTTAAAGGATTCTTTACAGTGAGCATTATCAGTTAATGTAGGAAAGTTCCATATAAATTCCCTTCCTCTGAATAAGGAGGAAGCTGAGCTAGCAAGAGGGCTACCACTTTGACTACTTGGGAGGAAAAGAGAAAAACAGAAGAAAAGCAGTGAGGATCTGGTAAAAGTCAACTAAAACCTTCATGTATCTATCTATACATTATGAACTCCATCCTGCTCTTGAAATGTGAGTCCTTGATCAAGGATATGTCTTATCTGGAAAATGTAGTCAAACCACCTACTAAATGTATGACAGTGAATCCTCATGTGAAACCATCCTCTGTAGCCGACAAGGACAGCGTTATCTCCCAGGAGCACGTTCTTAACATTTAACCTGAGGAAGATGAGGGAACCAGAGGCTGAAATTCAGACAGATAGAGGTGACAGCAGGCATAGACAGAGTCTGTGAGGAAGTCAGATGTCTCCAAACCACTTCTATTTTTTCTTTCCCATCCAGACAGTGTTAACAGGGTCTGTCTGGTCACCACAGAGGTGGGAAATTAGGAGTTCTGGTAGCCATAACCAAGGGCATTCTGTACTTTGGTTAAGATGTTCTATGCTTTTATGATAACTCAAGTCAGCTCATAAACAACTGTTGCATGAGAACAGTACACTACTACAAGTCTAACCTACACACTGGCTCTTGTGATGAGCTCCCCTGTGTCCCAGACTAGAGAGGGAAACAAAAATACTGCAGTTGTACGTAGCATATAGTATGTCCGTGAATTCCTCTGGGTTGTGGTGACCACGCCCTGGAGGTGAATCTGAACCCCAACTATGGCTCCCTGTTTTGCTCCCAATTCTTCATAAAGATCTGAAAGGGATCAGCTCAACAGAAAGAAAATCATGATTACTCCCCCATCCTGCCCCACCCCGGGGTCCTGTTCCTACGGTTTAATTAGATTTCAAAGTTAGCCTAAGGCAATGTAGAAGTCCAAGATACTGTGAGAGCCAAATGGGACAGAGCAGGAATGAGGTTTCCTGAGGGAAATACTAACACATTCATCTTTTCAGATTTTAAATCATGAATCCAGAAGCTCCATTTCTCCTCTTTGCAAATAACAAAGCAGACAGGAAAGAGGCATAAGGCACCTCAGGGTGACAAAGAGGCCTGCACTTCTGAAAGAAAGGAAAATTCAACTCGAAGGTGGACTTTCTGAGTTTACAATTGCCAAGTTGGATCACAAAAGCGGTTCACATATCTTTAGTAGAGGAAATGCTCATAAGCTTCCACTCTGCATGAGATGTTGGGAAGTTATGAATATTTTCAATAAATGATATGAACAACCAACTAAGTCTGAGCGATTAGAGTATTTAAGTTGATTAAATCGAGCTGGTACAAGGCTGACTATTATTACTGTTATGGAGACAGAATCTCAGATCTCAGCCTGATAAAGCAGCTTCCCTCTGTGTAAAGAGTCCCAGACTTGAAGTCTGGAGATAGGAGTTTGAGCCTTAGCTTTTTTAATTGTTGTGGTCTTGACTAATCACCCCCTTTGAACTCTGCTTCCTTATCTCTATGATGAGATATCTCTATGATGAAAAGTCTACCACTTACAATCTTACAAGGTTTTCATGAGGATTAAACATATATGAGAACTCTGGGCATACTGTTGGGCACAGAGTGGCGCTCAAATGTTTCATTTTGTCCAGGGGTTGTTTTTCTTTAACATTTGCTTAACTCATAAATCTTTGCTTAACATTAACTTGGCCTGCTTCTGCTCCATAAGCACCAGTTCATCCCAGTCTTACTTTAGCTTTAAGTTAATGTTACTCAAACTGCCACTGATATGGCAACCTTTGACATCAGCTGTGGGTGAGGGTGTGCTTTCCTAGAGGAGGGAGCTCACAACCACCAATCAATACTAGAAAATCCTTAATCTTAAGGGCAGTGCAGTGAATTAAGTCAGTATACTAATTCTGGAGTTTATCTGAGACAACTCATTCTGAACTTGGGATTGGGTGAAAGAAAAAGCTTCTAGTGCTGACCAGTTTGACATAAGAAGATTTCTGTCTGCTACCACTTCACTGAACAAAAAGGATATAGTTATAATACTCCCCTTTGCTAAATCACAAATCAGGATGTGATTCCTAATATGTGTGGCCTACCAGAATGTTTGCACAGAATGGGTGGAATAAATGCTCTTAGAAAAATTCATCATATTCTCTAGATGTATGCCATACATTAGTGAATATTTACCTCAAAAAAATGTTTTCCCCTAGAATTTCCATAGAAAAGCCATCCTCACAACAGTTGGGGTTGGGGGAGGGAGGGAAGAATGAGGAGAAGAAAATATCAGGATCCATAGCAAAATATTCGGGAGAAACAAACAGGAAAGACTCATCAGAACAATAGCTAAGAAGGTGAAAGATTCAAAGATGACAGGCAATTGGCAGGCTCCAGGAACTCAAGATTGACCTTTTCTGCAGGACCTGGTCAGCTAAACTGTCAGGAGGAAGTCATAAAGTGGAGGAACAGCTCATGGATGCCTCTAACTAACAAGGAAGACTGAGGGTTTTTCAAGCCTGACCAAAGTTGGAAATGCATGGCTCCCAAAGTCGGGATACTGAGGCAGCCCCCAAATGCGATGTCTAGGTCCAGAAGCTCCAGTCAGAAAACACTCATGGTTACAGACCAGGGCAGAGTACCGGGACCAGATCCCGCCTTCTCCACTCTTTCCTGGTGGTCTCTCCTCGAAACTCCCAAGCCTGGCACTTACTTGCTCTCAGAGCAAAGACATGCAGTCACGAAAGGTTCTCATGCCCTAGGGATATGCAACAGGGAGATTTCTGCACTGAGATTTAGGAAGACATGTTGCTTACAACACCTGAACGAAGAATGGCAATATGCTCCTGCATGTTCAGGTGGTAGCAGGAGAAGAGATAGACAAGAGAGGTGGACCACCGCTTTCCTCGTACTGACTCTCTGAAGAATATGTACACGTTAGCCACACGGTGGCATGACGAGTCTACCCACAGCCTTTCCTAGTGTGGGGGTGGAGAGAGAGAGGAAATGGAAGGAAAGCAAGATCTGGAAACAGCAGGAGACTTCAGGCAAACCATCCTTGGCTTGCCACTGTCACTGACAGGAGTGATGGAAGGGAGAGACAAGAGACAGTAGAAATTACTTGACCTAGAAAAGGCAACAATCAGGCAATTCAACTTTGGGTAAACTCATCGAGATTTTCCATTGATATTTTCCCACTTTCAGGCTAATTTTTCTAGGCCCCAGATTTTTTTTTACCAACCTGAATTTTTAAAAGTCACGCCTGTCAAAAGATCAGAAGGAACAACCTAAACTCAGTCAAGACAATCCACTTAAAACAGGTTGCCTTGTATCTTCAGAAGTGTTTGTGCATTTCTGTTTAGTGGGATAAGGACTATATTATCATTTATTAGTGATAATGGTCCCTGTCTTACAATGGGAAAATATCAAAGACAAAAAACCTTATGAGATCCAAAAGGATAATTCTTGAGTGTTGATGTTTTATTCACTGTAATGTACCGAAGGACGATTTCTGGCCCAGGATAAGGTGAAAATCAATCTGGACACACAAAATCTCACTTGTTGAGTACCAGCACTAATATCTAGTTTAGGATCATCTTCTGTATAGTGCCTAAAATAGTTCTAAGACTTTCCAGAATTCAAACCACAATACTCCTGGGAAAAAATGCCCTGACATGTTTAAAAACCAAAATTTGAGAATTATTATGTTAAGGAAAATAATTTAGTATTCAATTAATTGGGTTAGTATTCTATTAGCACATTTCTTAAATCTTTGCCTTTATTTGTGATGACCTGTTCAACAAGAGTGGGATGTCCATTCAGGGTGGTATGACGTGCACTTTCTCAGCGCCAGTAACACAGTGCGTGCTCAATACATGTTTACTGTTCAAGTGAACTGCACTGTATTCAATATAAGATTGTCTAGCAAAGTCAAACTGAATTCTTTTAAAAACAGTCTTCTATTCCAAGACACACACCGGTCCACAAAGCTCAGTGTGTTCCAAAGAAATTCAATTCTATGCACAGGGATAAAAGCTAAAGATGTTAATTCTTTTCATCCAGACTACTTGGCCTCCAATCTGGGAGTCTTGGATAGAGTAAAATTCCAGGATGCTAATGTAGATTGTTTAGCCTTCTAGAAACTAGCTACATTTATAGGAGGTGCTAGTGACTACAGATTAATATCCAAAAATGGCAAAAACAAAATTTTAAAACAAAACAAATTAGTTTACTTTTTAAAAAAATGAACTTTGAAATTTATACAACATGCATTATCTAGGCAGGGAACACAAAATCCAATTTCTGACTAGATAACTAAATATAATTCCTGTTTAACCCTAGAACATGTATCATCTTACAGACACAGAATGTTAAAGAAAGAATACAACTCAGCATCTTGGGTTTCTTGCTGTGCTGTCAGTGTGATCATAGAACAGTGAAAAACAGATGATCACAAATAGAGGTCCATATGTATCCTTTCAAATAATTTAAACAGAAAGAATAAAGGATGAATAATCTTTAAAAAAGCAATTTAGTTATAAACTATTGTGTCTGTGTCTGTTAAAACAGACATGAGATTAAAGTCAGTTTTGTTATTTTTACAACTGCAGGAACTCTTCTTTCAGAAAACTTTTTTTTCAGATTCCCATCTAAGAAAAAAGGGTAAGGGCTAAGATATTAAAACTACTTTGTGTTTGTCTTTAGTTGCAAAAAAGAACAGAATACTAGCAAGGAATGTCCATTTTTTTTATAATATATTTGCAATTTAAAGACTATGAAAGGGGATTTTTCTCTTTCCACTCCTAAGCATATCACCAGTTAGAAAAAGCCAAGAATATTACACAGTGCCTCTACTCACACGTTTTTTTTTTAAAAAAGCACAAGCTCTTTAGAAACAAAGGGCTGCAGTGGCCCTCATCTCATAATGCTGTTCACGTTTGAGCTGGCCCCGCTTAGACTTTATTCTCTGATGGCAGATAAAGGGGAAAGCATCTCTGCTGCTCTGCTTTCTTTCTTTGGGCAAGTTTGCCACTAGGATGAGAAAAAGACCCAAGACACCTGACTTTCTGAAATACCATAAGATTATAAACTCCATCCATAATTAATTTGTTTTAAGGTCTTTCAAAATGGAATTATGAATACACCTTTACAGAGACCTAAACTTTTAGCAGTAGGTTGGAGTTGAGATTTGAATAAATGCATTCGAAAAGTTGAGGAACATTCAGAATTAAGAAGTCACCAAAGGCACAGAGCTGTAGGTACATTTCATAATTCTGTTTCACAGCCTGATTTAATGACCTCTGCTTTTTCTTTTACTTTTTAAGGGAATTAAGTCTACTTGTTTACACTAACATGAGACAGCACTGCCCTTTGCTACTACAGCGGCAATGGTTACCGTATTTTTTCATCTTAGTTTAAAAAAATGAACTCAGCTATTTTAAAGCGCTTTACAAACTTTGTTCTTACAAATAATTCTACTATATTCCACAGGCAATCATACTGATCTAACAAGCGATTAGATTTGTCTTTGGTGCCCCAGTTGATTAGGATTCTGTCCAATTTCAGCAGGCACAATTATTTAATCATTGGAAAGGAACTTAAAAAACAAAAAACAGGGGCGCTTTCATGAAGTCAAAATAAAGATGCTCAAATACATAACTCACTTTTCAAAGTACATAAGAAAAAAACAGGAATCTGTTTTGCTTGGGAAGAGTTCAGTCTGATTTCCAGTGACACATTTTCTAGCAGTGGTTTGGCCCTGGATAGATTTCTGATGGGGTTACTTCTTTTTCTGTTATATATAACAATACTAACTGGCTAACAATGCACACTGCCAAATGCACTGCTATTATTTTTTAAATAATTGGTTGAACAGGGAATCACTAATTAGAATCCAACCCTCTGAAATAACAGTTTAATGAAATTCACTCTTGCAGCAGAAGAAAATACAACATCTTGGCAGAAAACATTTAAGGGTCAGCTCAGTGGAACTGATATGATGGCCTTCTTTTTGGAGACTGTGTACGGCTGACCAGAAGCCTAGAAAATACTGAAGACTAAACAAACTGGGGATTGTTGTTGTTGGTTTTGTTGTTGTGGTGTTACTATTTCCACTCACCAGCTCGAAGGGGTCGTGGAACTCCCCCAACAAAGATAGTTTTTCTGGGGTCCAAAGGCTGTGAACCATCCATTACAAAGTCACTGTCACTTAGGTTCCATGGTCGAATTTGCACCTGAAAAAAAGTTGTTTACTTGGTCCTTACTTCATTTCCATTAACCCCAAATGAGAATAAGGTGACTAAAGATAAACCCACTGATTTGTGCATTGTACAAGATACACAACCCAAACAAAATCCAGTTATTAGTTAATGTAATCTCTAGACATATGCTATGAAACCTTCAGAAACCACCTGTGGTTTTAAAAAAGGGTAGCCTTTTATAGATAAGAGTCTGGGTTTTGAATAAGACCCATTTTAACACGTTTAACTGTTCATAACCTGTCACATTATAGCACTTAGCTTTTTAAGAGCTCACCTAAAGAGGGAACAGGAACTTTTAGAATATTTTCTAAAAATTATCTATATGTCTGGCTTTTAAATTATCACCCCCTAAAATGAAAACATTGATCTTTCAGCAATATGATTTAACACAGTTTAACACTTATCAAGTTAGCACACAATTACCGGCAATATAAAATACTGAAGGGCACAGAATTATCTACTTTTGGTTGATCTGATTTTCCTAAATAAATCCAGTAAAATAAAGTTAAGTCTAGAAATTCAAGTAAATTTTCAAAGAGTAGGAAAAGAAATCTCTATGACATATTTCTTTCTACTTGGTAATGTCTCTTCACTGGGACTGACTCCCTGTCCAAAGTTTATACCTATGCTATCCTTATTGTATAAAATATTTCACCAGAATCGTAACCTTAAAACATATTCCTTTCAATCCATAACTGAACTATCAGAGAATAGCTTAAAACAAAACCACCACCAAAAAACCCTCTCATACAGAAAGGCCAGTTTCAGCACGGACTGAAAACCACTTGGCCATGCGCTCAGTTGGCCATGTGCTCAAGCAGGCCAGTTGTAAAAGCGAAGAAACAAGCAGTGGTTTTTAAGGAACATGCCTCTCCTTTCACCTCATTGATTAGGATAGGAAACAAAACAGCTGAACTTTAATTTCCTTAGTATCAACAAAATTTTTCACTTTTCCCATTGCTCAACCACCAACACTTAATGCAAGGATATATATATGACAATTTTTTATGTGGCTTGCCTTATATCCAGTAGTACTTCTATTTGAAAGATAAACCTGCCAATGACACTTTCAAAACACCTTGAATCAACTCCAAGACTGGCATTGCTCATTAGAAACAGGCTACACACTCATTATGACTATTACAAAATTTACCCCCTACACAACTTTTGGAGCTTTTATGACACAGTTGCCGCTACCAGTTACTGGAAGCCATAAAATCTCCACATGGGGGAAAAGAAAATCCAGTTCTTTCCTTGTAAACTTTAGTCTGTTTGACTAAATTATCAATCCCTTGATATTTATCACAAAGACAGATTCACCAATACCATAAAACACCATTTTCAAATGCCTTCATGAGGGCTCCTTATTAATGTTTAATTAAAAACACAATCTCCTGACACCAAGAAAAAGGATTCTAATGTCAACACACAAAAGACAAAGCAAATCTTTTTCTGTACAGAGCCCTTTTTTCTTCTAGTCTCATCCCTAGTAAAGCAGTTAAGGTAGCTTCAGGATCTGGTAATTCTATTTACTTTATGATAATTGAATTCAATCATATGGCTCACAAATAAAAACAATTCATGTGTAATATCCATAGTGTTCTGGTTTCATTTAATCAGAAGTACAGAAAATGAAGCCTCACACAATAGCTGGAGGTTGCTGTTACTTCAAAGAACTCTGCAGAAGATCACAAATCCGCCTGCTGAGAGGCTTCACTGCTGCCTCTTCTTCCCTCTAACACCCTCCCCATCCTTTCATTACAACACGCACAACCCATTCCCTTACCCTATTCTTGGGAAAAATACAGGAAGAAGACTAGGGAGACAGTAATGATTAACCGTATTCACAAAACCCACATTTCCCAGCTGCCATCACAAAACAGCTCCTCAAAGCTCACGCCACTGCAGATTCAGAGAAATGTCAACACGGGCCAACATCAGCACACTCTACGTGCTAAGCAAGAAATATTGTGGTACTGTTTGCACTGAGAAGTTTCATTCACACTTCAGTTTCTTTCTGAAATATAAGACCATTCTTACTGAGGAATGTTCTCCATCTTCTAAGGTTTATTCTCAGACCTCAGGGTCTAATATTCATGTTCTATCTTTCTGACTTACTCTTTGAATAAATTCTCTGGTCCCAAGACACACACACACACACACAAACACATAGGTTTCTCTACTCTTTTAGTCCCATACTTTGTAAGCTGACTCAAATATTTTGTAGAAAGGAATACAATATAAATAAAAGAGCTTTTTATTATTTTTATTTCTTTAATAATTATTTTTGAGAAATGTTGAAATTAGACCTCTATTTCAATTCAACACAAACTTCCCCTGGCAAAACAACTTTTACATCCACAGTGATTACTCTGTGTGTCTATATATGTCTTTGTAAAACAATTCTTCTACTATGTTGTCAAATAAGCTACACGCTGGGCAGTAAAAGCCTTAACATCCTAAGGAAAAGATAAGGCCGTCACCAGAATGGTGACGATTACTTTAAACGAAATTGACATGGTTCCAATACCACTTCCTGAAGAAACCTGATCACATCTGGTTACCAAGGTGACTCCAGGAAGAGGCTATCTGGCAGACAGCACCCACGAGCCCTTTGCCCATGCCACAACCACACAGCAAGGGTTTCACAGCACAGAACGTCTGTAGGGCCAGACAGGTAGCATAAACATGTCAGGTTACCAGGATAATAGTTAGTAGGCAGGCAGTGACACTATGGAGTAAACCACTCCTTTTATTTCGTTTTATATTATAGTTGATGAACAATGTTGTGTTAGTTTCAGCTGTACAGCAAAGTGATTCAATTACACATATATGTGTGTATCTATTCTTTTTCAAATTCTTTTCCCATTTAGGTTGTTATCAAATATTGAGCTGAGTTCCCTGTGCTATAGAGTAGGCCCTTGTTGGTTATCTATTTTAAATATAGCCATGTTAAACCACTCCTTTTAAAGGAAGCAGACACTTCTCTCAGCTAGTATTTATCATTTGCGAATGTGTTGTCAGACTTTTCCATTTCTCAAAAATAGCTAGAAATTCAGATTTTTATGTGAAACTCCAAGATTTCTGAATGTTGGGAACTCATTCAAATGTGAAAGTCACTTGTACAGGCTAGACAAAATCAACTGCAGGCCGGATCATTTCTGTAGGCTCCAGCCTGTGATCTCTGGTTAGAAAGGTTTAGTTATCACACAGTTCACAAAGGAATGTTTTGTTTCATAAGTACTTATGAGAGAAAATATTAATACAAAAATGGTTTTCCCTTAGTTTCAGTTCCTTTTTTAAGCATGTATTCCTATGGAAGTTATGGTGAGGACCATAAACCTTCTAGCTAAATTATTAGTCTTCTAAACTTTTATCTTGTGATTTGATAATTGGCTTTGTATAAATGCTTATCTCCAAAGGCAAAATCTTTTTAAGGATAAAGGCAAAAGCCAAACATAAAGATTGACAGCATAAATATACGAATTTATACCATAAAGTGACTTCAACAGCTTTCAAGAAATCTAAAACAATTTAATATTAATAATGTAACAGCAACAGTTAGTACTAAGCTCAAAATGGGTCGTAAGGCAGCAGAGACAACTTGCAAAATGAACACTGCATTTGTCTCAGGGAACTGCTAACGAACGTACAGTGTAGTGGTGATTCAAGAAATTTTGCAAAGGAGATGAGAGCCTTTGAAGCTGAGGAGCACAGTGGCTGGCCATCGGAAGTTAACAACGACCAACTGAGAACAATCACTGAAGCTGATCCTCTTACAATTATACGAGAAGCTGCTGAAGAACTTAACGTTGACCATTCTATGGTCATTCAGTATTTGAAGCAAATTGGAAAAGTGAAAAGGCTCTATTAGTGGGTATCTCATGATCTGACCAGAAATAAAAAAAAATTGTCATTTTTGAAGTGTCATCTTCTTCTATTCTATGGAACAACGAACCATTTCTCGATTGAACTGTAATGTGTGATGAAAAGTGGATTTTATATGACAGATGGTGACGACCAGCTCAGTGGTTGGACAGAGAAGAAGCTCCAAAGCACTTCCCAAAGCCAAACTTGCACCAAAAAAGGTCATGGTCACTGTTTGGTGGTCTGCTGCTGGTCTGATCCACTACAAATTTCTGAATCCTGGCAAAACCATTACATCTGAAAAGTATGCTCAGCAGTTGACGAGATGGACTGAAAACTGCAATGCCTGCAGCCAGCACTAGTCAACAGAAAGGGCCCAATTCTTTTCCACAACAATGCCTGAATGCACGTCACACAGCCAACACTTCAGAAGTTGAATGAATTGGGCTACAAAGTTTGCCTCATCCACTATATTCACCTGGCCTCTCACCAATCGACTACCACTTCTTCAAACAACTTGGCAACTTTTTGCAGGGAAAATGCCTCTACAACCAGCAAGATGCAGAAAGTGCTTTCCAAGAGTTCACTGAATCCCGAAGCATGGATTTTTATTCTGTAGAAATAAGCAAATTTATTTCTCATTGGCAAAAATGTGTTGACTGTAATGATTCCTGTTTTGATTAATAAAGATGTGCTTAAACTTAGTTATAATGATTTAAAATTCACAGTCTGCAAGCACAGTTATGTTTGTACCAACCTAACAACTTAAATTTTATTTTATTTAAAACAGAGTCATTAATAGGGATAAGATTAGGCTAAGTTCTAGGGGGAAAAAATTAAGAAATATAATGCAGGTCGTTTATTTTGATAGGGTGCTATAACATTATTTCCTAAAAAGAAAATGTCATTGAAAAAATGCATTTTTATTGTATCTTTAATAACAGGATAAGAACAGTTTTAGCAAGAACAGTTTTAAATACAAGTCTTAGGGCTTCAAGTTTCTGAATATGACCAAGTCTCCCTATAACTCTGGAACTCTCTCAGTTCAGACCACTACTTAGAATTTAGACATGACCTTGGTGGGCTACAGTCCATGGGGGTCGCAA